AGATGTTGTTATACAAACACCAATAAAGGTTATCTGCTTCTCTATGTATAAAAGTCGATCTTTTTCGTTATGGACTTTTTCGTGGGAGGTTTGGAGCGTCTAAGAGTAAAATAAATAGTAAGAAAACAAATCAAAGTATCACAAGTAACTGTAATTGCATTTTGTGGCGTTGGAGGCCCTTTTTGACAGAACAAACCTCAATACTGAGGAATCTAGTGGTTTTCAGAAACCGATCGACAGACGCAGTCAGTTTTTATACGGTGTTATTTTGGAACGAAACGAGAAGTAATCTCACCTATTGGGGCAGATTAGACAAGAACAGCTGTTTAACCATAGAAGTGCCGTTAGCTGAACTCAGATGTATATTTATTTAAGTATTCCAAAACACCACAAAAAAGACCTATTGGGTAAAATCAAGTTTGGAAACTAAAGTTGAACAACTTAGCTACTAAGGACAAAAACAAGCTGAAATATATCCTCTTAATCGGACTGTACCAGCAAACAATTTACAAGTAATGATGAAAGCTTTTTTGACTGCGACAATGTAGTGTGTGAATAGGTATCAATGGTATACACTTGCACATCCATTGTTTCATATCAGTAGAATAGGTAACTAATGAAAGCCATCTTTCAAGTGCATGTATAATAATTTGTGTTCATGGCTTGAGGATAGAAAGAGAGGAATGGAGGGGAAATAGAAGAAAACTGAATACATTTTAAACCTTGAATACGAAATCGACAATATTATATACCTATCGAATTGACTTAGAGTTTTATCATTGTGCAATTAACAAACAGACTCACTTGAAATCTCTAGGAGGTATTTACTGTTTTTTATGCTTAAGCTACGGTTGACGGAAGTTTCAATTCACACCTGAAACTAAAAATAAAAACACTGAATTTAACCAACAAGTACACAGGTCACTAATAAAGAATTAGTTTGTGGATTATGAAGATTTTACAAAATACACAGTTGACCAAGCCAAATCATAATATGCACATGGAATAATCAAGCTTGTCATTAGCTAGTAAGTTTGCAGCAGTCATGATATGTAGCTTACTTACATCCTCACATTGACTGGTCTGACGAAATGACAAGCAATTCTAAAAATGTTCATCCTCCATTACCACCGTTGTTTAATGGTTCAACGTAATTATATCATACGACTTGCCAAGTCAGGATCAAGATAGCTACTATTAGATTTTTTTGCACTAAATCCCAAAGATAATGCTAGATAGCATCTATTTTATTAATAACTTCGAAGAGAATACTATTTATTAAGAACCTAAAAAAATTTGGACTAACAAGAAACAGCCTTCGTAGGATCCTACACCGAATCTGGCTTGGCGTAGAAGCAAAATTATACATAATCCCTACTTCTATTTCAGATCATGTCCCACAAAAACTGAATAAAAATAGGTTCCTTCCCCATTTGTTCAAAGTGAACTCGCAAACAAATCATACGTTCATTAATGCAATAGATAATTTAAACCTTTAGATCAGTTGATGCCAAGTGAAGACAACTAGGTAATGTTGAAGATGGTAGTTTCTTCTCGTTTTTGGATGGTTTCCCAGTAACGAGCACCCATAAACCCGAATAGAGTTGGACTAAAGACATTCAGATATCGTGGAGAACAAGGTACCCTTATAGTATTTGGTCAGAATGTGCATTGGTCAATAAGTAGATTACACATTAAAATAAAAATGAAACGATATTTGGTAAATTTGACCACAAAAATGTTTGCCATACTCATATTACTAAATGTAATGATAAGACGAGATTGATGTGATACTGCCATTATTGAAATTGACAAAAATTACTGCTAATTATTTTTATCGATTTATTTAATTCTGTGCATGTTAGAGATATTTACTTAATAAGTATTCGAGATGTCTAGTCTATGAGATTGAATACAATATTTAAACAAAATATGAACAATGAATCAAATTCACCTTAGCAATATACTTAATTCACAGTTTCATACCTGATTAACGTGGTCTATTGAGTTGAATTCATTTTCTGTGTGACGATAGTAAAATAACCATCTAAATAATATATACGCTTTAGTCTACTTAGCAAGAAGGAATATCCAGCAAAATTTATAGACAACTGTATAAACCAAACTTATGTTGTAGTGAACGAGAACTTAGGTGAGAAAGACCAATTTATTATTGAATGCAAACTTAGAGTTCTTTCATAAAATGTGAAAATCATACATTATATACTTCATTTGTAAATCCTCCATTAATTGTCCTTTAAATCATTCACGATTCTCCCTATTCCTTTATTTTCTTCAGTTCTATCTTCTCAACCTCCTGTTGCCAGGTCTTCCATTTCTGACTGGTGTTGCATATCACTTCAAGACTATTAAGGTCCCAAATGTCTTTTTTTCCATTTGGTTAATAAATTGTAGTTCCAACGAAAGTAATCCATTGATGATTTGTGGTTCATATTATCACGATGGTGACATTTACTATTCATTGGTTAGTTACTTTCGCTCCTGTGACATCTCAATGTCAATATTGTATACAGAAAACCGTTTTCCAAGTCTTTGACGTTTTGGGAAATAGTAAATCTCTTCTGAAATTCTCACTTTTATTCGTGTATGGATTATTAACGTTATAGTGAATTAGACGTTCATTTGATCAAGTTCCCGTCTTATTAAAAAAACTTTTCAATCGTTCAAATAAACAAATAACTATCAAATCAAAACACAAACATTACTGACATAATTGGAGTTGAGAAGTGATTCCCCAGAAGTTTGACCTTATTAGCTTATTCATCAGTGATTATGGGTTAAAATTACCCCTAAAATTCCAAATCTTGTTTTTCTCGCTTTCTCAGAAAAGTTCCAGACTCAAAATATTCTTAAAAGACCTGTCATTCTCTTACAAGTTATAATCATTTTTGATTGAGATCATGAACCGATTAATGTTAGACCATCACAATTGAAAACCTGGAAGCACTGGACGGCCGTTTCGTCCTATTGTGGGACTCCTCAGCAGTGCGCATCCACGATCCCGCGAGCGGGATTCGAACCCAGGGCCTTCGGTCTCGCGCGCGAACGCTTAACCAACTGGACCACTGAGCCGGCATCCAATGGTGATAGTTTCTAACATCAACCAATCCACGAAATTGCGCGACCAACTTCCGTTGTACTGAGGTAGATACCTGTCTCTACCCGACAAGGATTAGCTCCACTTGTCACGGAGTCCCACAATAGGACGAAACGGCCGTCCAGTGCTTCCAGGTTTTCAATTGTGATGGTCTAACATTAATCGGTTCATGATCTCAATCAAAAACTTAATAATCTCCACAACCCCTATACTTATAATCATTTTGTTCTTACCTAGCCAGTATAAGTATAGCTAGTAATTTCGTGGTAGGACAAATAAATCCATAATGTTTTTAACAAGATACCAAAAATAAGTCAAAGGTAAATGTATCGCGAGAACTTAAAGCAGAGAGATTTAGTTGATAAAGGTGAATTCCCAGTTTCTGGGTAATGAATACTTGACAGCATCATTGTGCATAAATTTCAGGACAGAAAAACTGATTTTATGTTCTGTTGAGCTAAAAATGCACTAATAATTGAAAAGAAGATACTTCCACTTTGATTGTTGCCGTAACAGAGTATTTAATATATGTTTCATTACAGGCTGAAGAATGATGAGAAACTAGAAAATATTCAGAAATGCATGATCTAACTTGGTGATAAAACTGTCATAAGCACCCAGTCTTCCTCTTGACATAATGAATTACAACTCCCTACAAAAACGATGCTACCGAATTCCCACTCAGAGACTGAATGCTATCCTACTCTCACGAATACTAAGCTTTTTACGTTAAATGACTAGTAATTGAGCATTATTGAGCAATTTCGAACTGAAAAGAAACAGATAACCAATTCTTCTTGATTTCCAGTGATTTTTCAGCTGATGCCACAGACCATGGCTTCAAAAAAATGATAATATAACACTTTCAGTAAGCAATTAGAAATAGATGTAACTACTTTGTCAAGTGCAGTTTTATGCACTCGGCTTTGAGCCACATTGTTTTTGTGAGGACCAGTGATAAAACATGGTTATCCAAATTGAAATAGATGTAGCGACGTTTTGATCTAGGGCCTACTATTGAAACACCAGTCATCTACCGAATCTTAGTGCAATAACGATAATAGTTTAAGCCAGAGAACAAAAATATTTAAAAAAACTACATGCTGATAATCCATAGTAAAAACAAAGGGTTAGTGTTAAAGTGAAGACAAAACAAATTCGCATAACATCATTATGCAATACAAAATAAGTAGCCCTAAGAGTTCGTTGATTTATCAATTAAATAATGCAAATATTTCAATATAAAGCTTTAACTCATCAGCATGGCTGTATATGACCGTTTACAAACCAGTGGTAAGTTTGACACCACAATACTGCACATAACACTGAATAACAAGCATTTGTCATTTATCGTATTTCACAATTTATCAAGTTTGTTTATAAAATGAAAACGGGGTAATGAATGCATTAGTCATAATAAAAGAAATCAAGAAATATTCAGAGAGTAATAATAATAATAATAATAATAATAACCGACAAAACTTCACGTATAATACAAAACAACTAAACTCGATCCATACAAACATACGTTATGCACAAAACGAATAGAGGTTAGGCAAATATATCAACATATAAACTGAAAAATATGACAGGATTGCACACAAATGTAGTATATCAATATATTTTACAGGAAAAAATATACTCCATAAGGGTGAATACACATAAATGTAAAGATAGATAAAACCTAATTGGTGGAAAATAATTATTTATGAAATAGTTAATCTACAGTCAGTCGATAAAGTACAGGTATAGGAGAAAATACAGCCTTTTCCGAGAAGACACTGACAAAACTAGAGAAAGGGAAATAAATAAACAATGGAATAATTTAGAAGTGTGGATTCGTCGATTGTGAAGTATTTAATTTAAATCCTGACGCACGTACAGGTGTTTGACCTGGAAAGTAATGATTAGCTACACGAGCTGCTTCACGTAGACCACTTAAAAGTGCACCATGCACAGTAGCTGGATAACAACGGCAAGTATGTTCACCAGCAAAAAATATACGAGGATTATTAGTTGGCATAGAAATATCATCACTGGAACTACTAGAGTAATAAACTGGTTCACCAAGAATATCATAATCAGCACCTGTGGCTCCAACAGCAACATATGAGTAAGATCCACGTGAATATGGATCAGTTCTCCATCGCGTGACATATGCATCAATTGGCTAGAATAAATAATTAAATATGGTAAACAATTTAATTGATTCAAAACAAAGGAATGGTGTGCAGAAATCTGTCGTATAAGACTGTCCTGCCTGTTGAATTATTACTCAAGAAAATATATCTAATCCGGTTGGATTAACACCAAATGAATAGAAAATCGATAAGCGATCATTGATTTTTGACAAGGATATACAAAACAGCCAAAATGATGCAAGAAATGTAGTTGAGATGTACAATGAATACAGTTGAATGAGTGATTCCGTACTAGAATAAGAAATAATTTCTTAATATTATATTCATTATAATTGGAAATCACAGACTTCCAGAGCAAAATAAAATTTATTTATTTTTATGATAACACAACACTTCTAGTATTAATAAAACTGTGTTAAAATGAGTAAAATTGACAATAATTTCGTATGAACTCATTTCTAATCACCAAAGGTAATCTGAACGCAGGGTTCTACGACTAGCTTCTTTGCATCATTACCTATGACAGTTGTCCGAAATTTTGATATAACAGTCGAATGTTTTGAACAAAACACATCCACATATTTAATCTGTTCAAAACAGGGGACAAAAGTAACATGTGTTCTAATTATTCAGTAAAACTAATAAATAGCAGACAACTACGAAAAAGGTTTTAAGTCTATGCTAAACGAAATGTAGTAGTCTTTACGGATCTAATTAACAATGGATATGAAGTTTTGAAATAATTTTACTTCGACAACTAATAAGCTAACATTAGTTCAAAGTGAGATCAACAGTATAACAAATACTTTATTAAATTAGCGTTTATCCCCAGCATTGCTTATTTGAACAATATTGAATAGCTTGCTAGTATTTGGAACGCCATTTATTTGGTCTTTTATATTTAAATCATAATACTGAGATTTAATTGCATGAGAAAAAGATAAAAAATAATAAATCACTTTCATTTTTATTTTCAATAAATTAAACTTACATTTGGTATAATAAGTTTCTTCTTTTCTTGATTACTATGCATTCCACCATTACAATTACTAATGTTACTGTTATTATTATTGTTACTAACACTACTACTACCTTCTTGGCTGAAAATACCACGAAGAACTTGCATAGCTCGTATAATAATAGGTTCTTTAAGTCCACGACCTAATAGATGAGATGTTGGTGTGGCAGAATTATTGACTAATGAGTTTTGACCTTTAGATCCTGGTGATAGACGTCGTGTAGGTGAAGTTTTCTCATTTTCTAAATCACATGCAGCACGACCAGCAATTAATGCTATCAATACAGGCTTATCAGTAATTGACCAGAATAAAAATAATTCACCACGCGAATTTGTTGATTCATTCACATGTCCAAATAGATTGTGTGAACGATCCCAAAAACTCTTCTCAAATATAAGTACAACCTAGAGAACGAAAGAGATAATACCGATTAACACTACGTGAATATGGTCATTGAAGTCATGTTCATCGAGAGTTGCCAGCAGGACAACGAATCTACACCTAGGTTGGTTTCCTTTGTAAGGTTGAAATTTGCTTTGTTTACTAATTATATTATGATTTTCAAACATACACTGAACAACTTTGATAAACCAATCATCAAAACAATGCTATTTTTGTATAACATCAAATGTATGGTTAAAATTTACGCAGAGTAATCAGGGTTCGTCGTAATGTCCATTATCAACCGGAACGATGTAATGTTATGATTGAATAGATTAAAATGATAAAAAGCAAACACTTCAATGAGCAACACAAATTGGTAAAAAAAATACAGTTGGATCCTCCCAGTACCTTGTCTCATTGGGCCACAGAAGTAGTAGAAGACAATATTTAGTCTGTGGTTATGATTAATCATTACTTAGCAAACTTTTGAGCTCCGTACATACATTTTCAGCCAATGTAAAATTATAATGGGAGTGATGGAACGGTGTAAGCCGATTGGTCCAACAGCAAAACGAACTATCCAGTAAAATCACTCAAACCATGTAGCAGCATGAACTGAATTGAATAAATTACTACTACCTTTGAAGCGGACGCTACTCAGAAGGATGTTTGTAAGTAGTGTGTAGCAGGATCTGATGCCGAAGCTACAGCGATTGTCAAACAGAGCGAAGAGTTTCATTGCTTCGACAGCAGGATATCGGCAGAGTACTTGGAAACCAGAGGAGTAAACAGTCCAGATGGCAGAATACACCGAAAGATGAAAATGGACGATTGAAGACTACGTATATTTAAAAGACTAATAATTGAACGAAGAATATTCTTTTCGATAAATTCTCTTCAGGTTCTACAATTATATATCCAAATTAATAATCCCTTAACATGGCCATTTTTCGGATTATTAATTTGGATATATAATTGTAGAACCTGAAGAGAATTTATCGAGAAGAACATTCATGGTTCAAATTACTAGTTTTTTAATATGATGGGGATCTTTAAACGATTACATATATGTGTTAAGTAAATATTTTGTAACTTCTTACAACAAATACTTTCCTTCTGCCTATTGCCTTCTTTACATCTTGTATGGAAATAGCTTAAGATGTTGATATCTGAATAAGTTACATAACATAAATAATTTAGTAATGAACAAATATATCAACAACTAGACTTTCTAATCAACTAACACAAATCGGTGAAAATAACAGTTAACAATAAAAAATCACGGAAGTCTAGTCAATCATATGAATATTATTTTTCTCTAGAAAGAGGCCGATAACTCAACAATATTTAAAATTATAGGAGACAACATCTACTCATAAAATTTTACTAATGAATGGATTAGTAGCAATGAAAATATACATTATAAAACGATCGTTTGTATATTCCAAAAAAGAACTAAAGTTTATAAAGAGTAAATAAATGAAAGAATCAAACTAATACATATTTACGCAATTCATTTGATACGTACAGAACCATGTTTTCATTCATGTAAGAAAGGATTAGCGCTTTAAAATGTATGTAATTGGAGCAAGCTCCAAACATGGAATCCTTATGGATGAAGTAAAGTTAATAATTGTTCTCAACACACAGGTATTTCTAATAAGAGGTTTAAATGTTAGCTGATTGGAGAAAGGAATTCTCCAAATCAAACAAAGTGGTAACGTGAAATCAGGTCATTTGAACTAGTTATTAACAATGACCGCGTAGCTGATAGAATTTGAACAATACCAAAGGACTAGTACAGTAAAACAATGTCGGTTACTTATTGATCAGTTAGTCAACATCTTTCAACAAGAAAAATATTAAATAAGACCTGATGTTCTAAAATGACAGCTAACACTAGGTAAAGAAGAGGAATAGTAAACTGGAAGTCACTAAATCGAGATAATAACACGAACACTGTTTCTGTCGTCTTTATCTTACAAATATTAAAAGGGTAATAGTAATCAAACAACAAACTCGTAGTATATTCGATCCTTGCTCCTGTTTCGATTTGGGAAGCCGATTAATATCTTCCGGCCCCGTGTATCCAGTGTAATGTAAAACTGACTGCACAAGGTTTTATTTACAAAATGAGTAATACAACCTAAAAAAATACCAATATGTCACTCGGTATACATCTTTGTATTATATGTAATGCTTACCTTATTCAATACACCAAATCCTAAACGCTGAATAGCTGAAATTTTCCAATCAGGCAAACGTGGCTCAAAACGTGGTACAACTAATTTTGTAAGACAATTGTTAGATGATTCATTTGTTGTAATTTGTGATTGATGCATGGTTGTTTCATTATCTTGTTGGATAATTTCTTTTAAGATACCTAATGGTAGAGTACAAATTAAAGCATCTGCTTCATATTCAATTAAATCATCTTGACTAAATGCCGAATTAAGGACATCCACTTGAACACCTGTAAAACAAAAAGATATTTTGATATTAAATTATACACCAAAAATCTTCCTTGAGTATATATTATACGTAAATCTGTTGTATAACATGACAGAATGAGAAAAGTGAAAACTATTCATATCTTGAGTAATCTTTTATTCTCTGAGCTAAGTTAATTTATTTTTCAGTAATAAATACCATAATTGAGCTTCAATGAGAACATCAACATTGAGGTGCAAGTAAATTCAGATGACCAGTTTCAAATAGGAAGAAACGCTCGTTATGTATACCACTATCGGGCACAATCAAAATATTCGAAAGTGGTTTATTTATTATCTCATTATGCTGTCCAGTATGACAATGAAAGCTTAACAATTAAACCGTATTATATTATTTATTGTAAGATTTAAAAACAATCCAGCTATAAGACAGACAACCAACACTGATCAAGTTAAGCTTGCTGTATGACGATGTAACTCATCAGACACAGATTCATGTACTCGGTTTTGAATCACTGTTTGTGTAAAGGTTAGTGGGACTAACCAGATGTCACAACCGATATAGGTGAAACAGGGTTTGAGCTCACGACCTACGAGTTAGATGACTGTTTTAACGGATACGGTACTGTAATATATATATGCTCTAACACATGCATGACCGAAAATTCATTGTGTAATGTAAAATTTGATCATCCACTATTCAACCATTAAGCAAGCTTAACTTAAAAATGTTTTTTTTTCAACATTAGATTTAAAATAAAATTCGTGAATATCTTACCTCTTTAAATTCATATCATTCGAATTTCTTCAAGAAAATTACTTACGCCTGTTATTCCTCGTGAAGAAACACAAGCCGCTCACCAGTATTCAACATCTAACTGTGTTCTGGGCAACCCTTTCCAGTTGCTATTCATTGTTTTGTTGTCTGCTTCCAATTCGCGACGCAATGGTCTTCGGTCTTCCTCTTTTCTTCTTTTCCTCAGGACTCCAGGCTAGGGCTTTCCTCCTGATGCAGTTTGCTGATTTTTTCAATGTGTGTCCTACTTACCCCCAGTGTCTTTTCCTAATTTCCCTTGGCTGGAAGCTTGTTTGTTCTCTGCAACAGTAGGTTACTGTTTATAAATACTTGTGCTTTTTAGATGATGGTTGTAGTAGTTTTCCAAGCCTCGACTCCATGTATTTGAACTGTTTTGACGTCCGTCGTAAGATTCTGACTTTGATGTTGGTTAACAATCTTTTTGAGTTCCACATATTCTTCAAATGAAGGAATACTGCCCTTGTTTTGCCAATCCCTGCCTTGATATTTAAATCAGATCCTCCGTGTATGTCGTTGGTGCTGCCCAGATATGTGAAAGATTCCGCATCTTTCTGAGCTTCTCTATCAAGTGTGATTGGATTGGTGTTCTCTGTGTCGCATTTCAGAATCTTTCTTCCCACCTTGTTTCTGTTGAGGCTTACTGTTGCAGATGCTGCTACACTGGCTGTCTTCCTCTGCATTTGTTCGTGTGTATGTGATAGAAGATCTAGATCATCTGCGAAGTCTAATTCATCTAGCTGCATCCAAGCTGTCGATTGCATTCTGTACTTTCCCTGAGATTTGTAAGTTTTTATAATTCAGTCAACCACCAGGCGGAAGAGGAAGGGCAAGAGTAAACAGCCTTGTCTGACATCGATCTTCACTTGGAATACATCAATCAGATGTTCTCTATGCACGACATTTCAGTATAGTCTATCGCACGAATACCCTATGGTGTTAATAATGTTCTCACGTATACTATAGTGTCGAAGAAGGTTCTCCTATCCACACTGCCAAACGCTTTATCATAATAAGGGAATTTGATGTATAGTGACGAGTTCCATTCAAATGATTGTTCAACAATTATTCTTAGTGTCGCGATTTGGCCTGTGCACAACCGAACTTTACGAAACACAGCCTGTTAATCTCGAAGCTGAGCGCCTACTGAATCTTTCATCTGGTTCGACAATACAAAACAAACGTTCCCTGATACTAATACTAGTGTGGTGCCTCTGTATTTCTGACAATTTCTCAGATCTCTTTTCTTTGGTATCTTGATGAGGTATACTACTTTCCAGTTTGTCGGCACTTGTCCTTCCTCCCAAGTCTTCCTGAATAAAATGTGGAGGATCTTGACAGTTGCTTCTACGTCTGACTTTAGTGCTTCGACTGGTATGTTGTCAGGTTCTGCTGCTTCCTCACTCGTGATCTGTCTGATGGCCATGATGATTTCTTCGATGGTTGGTGAAATGACAACTATAGGAAGGTCTGAGTGTGTTGTTTCGATGTCCGGTGAGTTCAGTGAGGCTGGTCTATTCAAGGGTTCTTCAAAGTGGTCTACCCATTTGTTTTTCTATTCTTCAATCTCAGTGAATGGCTTGCTTTCTGTGTCCTTAACTGGTCTCTCTGTTTTATTATATTTCCCTGTCAGTTTCTTCGTTTTCATATAGTTGTCTCATGATTCCTTCTCTTGCAACTTTTACCACTGTCGTTGCTAGGTCCTTCACGTATTTCTGATTTTCCACTCCAATGCTCCTCTGCTTGTGCATATTCAGCTTGTCAGTCAGTCAGTTACAACGTAGGACTAGGCACATACATGCATCTGTCCAAGTTGCCACACCTCATTAGCACAGCAAGACGAACACGGGATTCATAGAAGCAGTTAACTCAATGACGTAATATATAAAGGAAAGATTTTAAGTAAGGATATAATGCAGATAAAAAGAATTAGTTCGTCGTAAGAAAGATATGAAATAATTTTAGCCTCATAGTTTAAGGGAAGACAAAGAGTGTATACACCGACGCCATTGTGATCGATTCTGAGCCATGTCACCAAGAGTCTCCAACCATTGGTTACGATAGTCACGCGGACCCCAACCAATTAGTCTACATTTATTTATTATTTATTTATTTGAACACATAAATATTGGTACAAGAGAGCGCCAATATATGTGCGCCACACAAAACAATGAGAATTTGAAGAGAAAGAAAAAAAAGATAAGGAGCGTGAAAAAAGGAACAATAACGAAGAGGCTGGTGTAAGGTAGTGTAGTAATAATAATAGTAATAATGAGGGAACGGAAAGGCACTATCAGAAGAAATCTTTCAGTTAAGGGAGACACAACCACGTTTTATGAATAAAGTAAAAGAAGGCTACAGCAGGATCGTCACTGGCTTCTATTCTGAGCCATATCTGATAACGTCTCTAGCCACTGTAGCACCATCTCTCGGACCCCAACCAGGGAGTCGTGAAGGACCAATAGAAGCCAGTCCTTCGCAGCTTTCTTTCATACCACGACACCATGTCATGCACTGACCACCTCTCCGCTTCTTCCAACCAGTCCCAGAGTCGGCAAATAATGCACGACGTGGAATCCTCTGGGACAACATCCGTAGAACATGTCCAAGCCACCGAAGTCGGTGTTTCAAGATGGTGACATCAGTTGCATTATCATCTCTGTGCCTGAACACACGATGCCGAACCTCTGCATTACTAACATGGTGTTGCCACTGGATGTCAGCAATCCTTCGGAGACAACGATGATCGAACACAGAGAGTCTTCTAACGTCCTCAACTCGGAGAGGCCAGGTTTCACAAGCATAAAGCAAGACTGCTCTCACCGACGCATTCTAGACCCGACCTTTTGCGGCCAGACTAACATCACGAAGGCGCCAAAGGTGGCCCAGATTGGCATAAGCCGCTCTGGCTTTCACTATACGTGCATTGATCTCATCACTCACACCCCCACCAGCACTTATGCAGCTACCCAGATACACGAACTTCTCGACTACGTCTATCTGCTCACCATCCAGGGTGAGTACAGGATTGGAATCCTGCCAGTCTTGTAGAAGTACTTTGCACTTCGAAGGTGCAAAGCACATACCATACCTACGGACACTGGTTGCCAACTGATTAAGCGCGAATTGCATGTCTTGGGGATTATCGCACAGTAAGACAATATCATCTGTATACTCAAGATCGAGAAGTCTTTCTCCAGGCAACAGATCCACACCACCATTACTTACATCCATCAGAGCTGTTTCCAGAATGTCATCGATAGCAAAGTTGAAGAGGAATGGTGAGGTTGGGCAACCCTGCCTAACCCCACTGCTCGAATGGAACAATGGAGAGAGGTGGTTGTATACCCTCACTCTGTTTGAGGTGTTTGTGTATAGGGCTTTTAGGATGTAAATAAACTTCTCAGGCACACTCTTCAATAGAAAATCCCAGGGCACAGTCCTATACAACGAATCGAAGGCAGTCCTGATGTCAAGAAACACTACGATTGTTGGCCTTTGATAAGTATGGCGGTGTTCTAACATTTGGCGGAGGGTGAAGATATGATCAATACATCCTCGACCAGAACGAAACCCAGCCTGCTCCTCGCGAGTCAATCTTTCTCGGATTTTGAACAACCTACGAAGTATGACGGAAACCAATAGCTTGAACGCAATCGGAAGTAGACTTATCCCCCGATAGTTGTTACAGGAACGACGTGAACCCTTTTTAAAGATAGGGACAACTATCGACTCATTCCATGACGTTGGTATACTCTCTAGTTCCCAAACCTTTGTAAATAACGTCGTCAATTCCTTAGTCAGAAAGTCACCACCATCTTTAAAAAGAGCCGGAGGTAAGTCATCTGGGCCAGGTGATTTGTAGCGCTTCAAGAGTTGGAGTTCCTTGCGGACTTCCGCCTCATTTGGTGGATCAGTCGTCACCTGCCATGGAGGGCAGGACAGTCTGACCGATGTTGCCGGAGCAGCAGGCCAGTTGAACTGTCCTTCGAAAAATTCTGCCCATCGTCCAAGACGTCGATGGATGTTAGTGATTGGCATCCCGTCATCCTCACAGATTGTTTCGCTCACACCAGACTTCTTGCTGCCAGTGGCTCGGATGAGTTGGAAGAGCTTCCGGTAATGACCAGATGCAGCTGCTGCTTCCAGCTCATTAGCACGCTCCGACCACCAGGCTTCTCGGTCCTTACGCAAGCTTTACCCAATTTCCTTACGTAACACCCTTCGTTTGTGGTCAAACTCACGGTCGCCCGGAATAGACCGACGGGTTTCAATGAGTTGTAAGGAGCCTGAAGAAACCCAGTGCCTATGGGCGGGACGTTTCGCGAACCCACAACTGACTGTACCCGCCATTTTCATGGCTTCATGCGATTGCAATCAATGCTCATCTATTCTTTTCGGTGGAATGGTAGCTAGCCTAGAAACTAGCTCGGTTCGATACTTACTAGCAACAGAGGTTGCAACCAGCTTGCTAATATCAATTCGTTGATGGCGTTCAGTTCGTTGGCCACTGAAAAGTAAGGCAAGATTGGCGCAGATCAAGGCATGGTCAGAGTCCAGATAGGTACTCCAAAAGGAGCGGCAGTCTTGTACACAACCACGCCAGCGGTAGCTGGTCGCGATGAGATCAATGTGAGTCCAGGCTTAGGATGTAGAGGAAGGACGCCAGGTGGCACATCGGCGATGACTGTGCCGGGATTTAGTGCTAGCTAGAAACAGGTTGTAGTCTGCGCACAGTTGCAGTAGACGGTCCCCGTTATCTGACCTGCGACCAACGAGTCCCCATCGGCCACCTAAACAACTCTCTTCTGTGCCTAGACGCCCGACCTGAGCATTCAAGTCTCCCGCTAGTACTATAATATCTATCGAACGCGCTTTCTGGAGAACAGATAACTGGTGGTAAAACTCATCCTTGATTGCATCCGGGCTGCAATCTGTCGGGGCATAGGCGGAGATGACGAAAAGACATCGTTTCTCACGCCGATTTCTTCTCACTTTGGTGGAACTTTCTAATCTAACAGCACATAACCGACTGTTAATGGGGATCCAATCGATTAGTGCTGCCTCAGCTCTAGCGCTTAGTGGGACACCAACGCCAGCAAGACCAGACGAAGATGCCATAGGGTCCCCGGATAAGCGCACGCAAAACAAGCTTTTCGAAGCGACAGATGGAGGTCGAATTTGTAGTACTTCACCAGAGTCTTGAATACGGGTCTCGGATAGACAGCAGACATCGATATTAAGACTTTCCAAAGACATAGCCAGCCCTATCTATTGTCCAACCTGCATAAGTGTGCGAACGTTGAAGGCAGCCAGTTTGAATGGTGCACGTGGTTTCCGATAAACTGCTTCAGTCCTCGTATTCGGTAGTAACATACAATTTTCAACCGGACAGTGACTCGAGAACATTTAGATAGAGTCGAATTTCCACCATAGACGAGCTGCTGTATAAGTCGAAAAAAATAAGTATAGACAGAGTAGGAATAAAAGAGGATGAATGATGATGTAGTAAATAATAATAATAATAATAATAATAATAATAATAATAATAATAATAATAATAATAATAATAGTAATAATAATATTTGAATCATCTGAATGTTCGTCGAAGCAAGAGAATTAGTTTCCATTATCATAGACAGTTCAGTTCATTAATTGTGTGTGGGTTGTGATACTGCCCGGGTGCCCAAACGAAGCAGGTGGTTTTCTTAAGGGGCCACACCCCGAGCCTTTGACCTAATGGTCTAACCCACAAGGCAGTGGAGCATCGTAAGGAGATGCAGTCCCATGGAAGCCGGTGACCAGCAATTGGTTCATACGCCATTTGTTCCCGCAGGATACTGGAGCCCATGTGAACCATTGATTTGGAATCCGGTTAAAGCGCCGGACATTCGCTTTTCGTCCGCTCATCTTCGTAAACAACACTCCCGCCACGAGAAGGCAGTGAGTAGGACTTCCCTGACAGAGGCTATATACGCGTGACCGTGTGAGAGTATTTCGAGAGGGAGGGCGAGCCCACCCCACTCTCGGTCGTACCAGGGCATTTGGGGGCTATTTTAGGAAACCCTGGACCCGGGTTTCGTGCTGCTTGGCACTCGTCAGCAAGGTGTACACGTAATCTTGAGGGAACTGGTGCCCCTGGTGGATTCAATCTCGTGTCACCCAGCTTCTAGTCTACATCCACCAACATGACTCAGACTAGAAGTTAGTGACTCCAAGCACTGATGTTACATTTTGGTTTGGCCGCCCCTAACTTTCATCTAACCATCCCCAACACTGGTTAGCGTTGCATGTCGTAATAATCGGTGTTTAGGCATGCGTAACACGTGGCCCAACCATCTTAGTCGATGAAGATTCACAACCTCATCAACTGATTAATCATCATTCCCTAATACCCTGAGTCTAAACTCACTATTACTTACCTGGTGATCCCAGCAGATGTTGGCAATATTTCTGAGGCATCTGTGGTCAAATTGTTAATGATATTTGATGAATATGAAATAACCATCCTTAACTCTACTAACTAGTCTTCTTTTTGTCATTATTATTGATGAAGTAAGGACGTAAAATCACTCGATGTATAGTTAGCATTTGAATGACAATTTATAATCACTTAAAATCTGACAAGTCTATTTTACAAAATATACGAATTTGAATATAAAATTTACCTGTATTAGAGTAAGAAATACGTTTAACTGTACTTTTCAATTCAATATGACCAGGTCCAAGTTTATAAGTGGATGAATTTGATGACGATGTTGTTGTTATTACAGATGTAAGATGATTATCACGAGGTTTTAATCCAACTGTTAATGACTGACCAGATGTAATAAAATGTGCTAAATTATCGGTTACTGATCCGTAACCGTCTTGTAATACACAATGATCACCGCTTAATTCAAACAAATCATCTTGATCCCAATGACGTAATGATAAATTATGCAATTCTGTAGCATTGGCAAATTCCAAATTAGCTAAATGCCAATCAAGTATAGAACGTTCTTCTTTGGTTAAATACATATCTCTGAAGGAAAAGAAAGTAAAGCGACAGAACAAAGAACATGGATTGTATGAACAACCAAAAAGATTGTTAATGAGAAATTCATTGAAATAACAGAGAAAATCAGTGATAGGATGTTTGAACTTGTCCATACTAAAACGGATCGAGTCTATGATTGAAATAAATTCACACACTATCCATTTACACATATACAATAGTGACAATAGTAAATATTGATACCGGTCAAACTAAGGAATAAAACTAATAATGTGGACAGTACAAAGGGAATTAGAAAAATACCAACTGTGACAGATAACAGAAACTGGCTTTCTTCCATTACACTTCAAATCTTGTTTTCCTATAATGTTTTAATCGTTCGGTTTCTCTTTAATTTCACTGTTTTATGGTAAATAATGAGAATTTAAATGGACAGCTTATCTCAAGTTTTATGATATTTCAGTCAGTTAGTCAGTCAATCGATCGATCACAGTATATATATATATATATATATATATATATATAATGCATATCATGAACAGTGATACAACCCTGGGGGGAGTTAACCAAATCGAAATAGATAGATGCGGAGGTAGTATTCAAGACTGTGACTCGATAGTTAAAAATCGAGCACTTTACAAACATTACTCATGAATTTTTGAGTCATATTAGCTGTATATGGGCTGGTCAAACTAAAATGGAATGTTTAAAAATGTACTCGGAAAAAATTACTGTGTTGAACTTTCAGTTAAGCATCTTAAATTAAGCTTAGATTTATACAAAAGTCGGAAATAGGTTCCCTTTATTGATATTTTTATTGTGTGTGTGATTCCTCTCCTAAGCTGGGGGAATATGGGAATTATGTACGTAATTTTTGTCAGTAGGACATTTACAAAATATATTAATTTTTAAAAAAACCAAAATTTGTCACGTGACTATTCAGTCTAGGCAAAAAAGTTGATATAATGCTGTTTATAAAGTAAAACCTTGTGGTCCTAAAGATTTACGTTCAAAATGAATAAAAAGATTGATTTCCTCACTCTATCAGTATGTTTCTTCAGTTTGTACATAATAACTGTATTTCCTGAGATATTTTTAGAGGACTTTTTAATGAAAATATTAAACCATGAATGACATGGCCAGAGTTTTACAGATTTGTCATTTTAGTGAATATATATGCATATACATTAAAAAATAAATTGGTTGTCCCCACCTGAGTTCTCTTTCACAACATACGTATATATGTATGTATATACATAATTATTGATTATACTGATCAAATTATTTTCAAGGTTCAACAAATCTGAATAATTTTATTTCAAAGTTCAATTATGTGTCAATTTATATTGCTTAATTCAGTGACATCAAGTAATTATCTATACTAATGAAGGCAGTGTTGAGCAGATTTTCAATTTGTAACCTAATAATAGCGGCTGGATATTTTGATCAAAGCAGAACGTTATCTATATCAAAGTTATTATTCTTGTCTATGAAAGTTGTAGGACTAATGAAGCCCACTGAATATATGCGAAATAGATATCTACAGAGGTTTTACCAACTTTTACAATTTCGTATAATTAAATTAAGTTTATTACTTGTAGCCAGTTTATGAAAAATAACATTAAAAGTTTTTCTTTCATTTTACCAGTAGTGAAGTAAAACAAGTTTATATTGATAGCTCGCCTGATAAATAATCCAGCGGAGCTATTTAAGTTTCCTTTAAAACAAAAGCATGGATTATCATTTATTTTGGTAATCCCAGTAACGATAACAGAACAGCTCACAATATTTCCTCATTAATCGAACCTTATAAGACCTATTTACCAATGATTACTTATTTAATACAATTTAGGAATATAAAATGTATTAATTTATTCTTATTTTCTAATTATCATCTTAAAAACATTCTTCAAAATCTCCAACATTTTCAGATACATATTAAAATAGCGATTTCCTCAAAACAAATGATATTATATTAAGCTAGCAGATGAGATTAAATTACCATATTTTTACGGACTGCAATCTATGGTACACCCTTTATCACACGGTTGAAAATACATAGCCCTCTCAGCAAATACACTAAGTGGACAATGAAACTTTTCTTTAAAACGTGAGAATAATCCAAGAAGTTTATAAAATGGTAAGAAACATTTGTGGAGATAACACATTAAAGAAAATAGAGCCTCTCGACTGAGCCGATACATTTAGTAAGAGCCGTAAGGACTACGACGATGACACGAGGTCAAGATGACCATCCAATATCTGTGGTCTCTTGTGCTTAACGATTGTCGATTTGCAGTCCGATGGCTTTTGGTCAACTGAGTTAAAGATAGACATTATCTGTGAAAATTATTGTTAGGTAGTCGGAAAAATAGACCAATAATTATGATGTTAAGTCCAATGGTGTCCTTGGACCTTAAATGTACATTTCCCATTGGTCAATATTTATTTAACGTGTTATTTTCCTGTTGGCCAATATTGTACAATGTTATTTTCTACTTTGTGGTACGTTGTGGTCTGCTTGACTAGTATATAAACAAAGTATGTTTGAAATATAATGATTCATAACTCCGAGGCTGTGACTTGTGTTTTTGACTCAACTAGCTAGGACAGACAGCGAGGCAGGGCCAATCAGGGCACTAGGTCGTCCTTACATGTTTACGTGTCCATTGTCACCGAACCGATCGATAATAACGCTGCGTATCTAAAACCTGCAGTCACACCCGTTACAACAATTATATTTGAAATAATTTCAGCGATTGAAATTTTAATAATTCCAGCGTTCAGTCCAACAAACTTGTCTCTATATTCGGCGCTCAATTTTTGTCAAAATATTCGTTCTAATACTGATGAATATTCGTATGAATTAGAGATAATTGTCTGTGAATGCAATTTTATTGAAACATCAAATGACAGTCTAAATTCAATAGTCTTTTAAGAATGCTTCAAATAATGGAAACAATCTAAAATTACCAGATATTATAATCATTTAACATATATATAGTTGCATGTACTTACTTCGGTGGTTCTTGAAGTAATATATCTAATTGCTTATTGACTTGAGACAGGGCAATTTGAAGTGGTTGAAATTTCTTCCAAGCTTCATGTAAATGACTAAGTAACTGGCGAACTTCGAATTGAGCGCTAACATTAAATACTGGTAACGAAGGACGTTGAGATAGATCAGCTGATCTGGTGAAATCGTTATGAAAATGGGAAAAAGACGATTAGAGGAATCACCATAGTATATGTTATATAGAACAAATTGTCATAATACATTTACTTTTAAATATCAACCATTCTGCTTCTATGAAACCAAATTATTAATATTGATATTTCGATTTTTGCATAGTAGTTGCCTTTCCATTATTTTTATGCACTCATAAATGTGTGGCTAGAAACGGTAGTTTTAGATGTGCTAGTGGGAACTTGGACTCGGCCCCCTAAAACTGCATTCCTACTGGCTGAATCACAATGCCACTTTAAGGCACTGCGTAAATAACTGTGTTTTTTGTTTTCTTCACTATCTAATTTATCCATTATTTCAACTGTTATTAGTTGGATTTAATAATAATCCAGGATAATATGAACCTGAGCTGTACAGTTGGGCTATATGAGTTGTTTGGTAAATTCAGAGTAGCAGCTTCTTAAATAACATAACACTTAATAGCATTTCTATATTTCATTTTTTAATAACTACAATAAATTAAATATAAATTTTTCGTTCAACTTCGTAGTATGAATATCACAGCTGTGAGAAATTTATTAGGTTTTGTAATTTACCATACGCTGTAGGTTTACAATTCAGTTGAATACTGTAAATTAGGAAGCGCTAGAGGCCACCGGTCTTATATTTGACTGTTGACCGGATGTATTGAATGAGGAATTTCACAGTGTATTACATCCATCTTCATTTAACACGAACAATATACGCAAAAAAACTCTAATTGGACAAATAGACTTCGTCTATTTACTTTTATGCAAATATTTATGTATTGAGTTGCATATATATAGACTGGAAGAGAGCCAAAAACTTTTTAATACGTGGCAAAAAAGTCAACAATAAAATTAACTATGTGTAAACATATTCATCAGAGATCTAGAAATGAATTTTATGGATAATAACCAATAGACCATGTATAGAACAAAAACGGTGAATCAATAGAAATTATGATCAATTATTGATTACTTTTGTGATCCATTTGATGAAGCTGATTCAATGACTAGTTTTCCATCTAGTTCAGTACTACTGGAACGAGGTGAACATGATGAATCATTGCGTACACGAGATTTATTTTGCGTAGGATTTTGTGTTTTAGATTGTTGAGTATAGTGATGGATTGGTGACGATTGGTTATTTAATGCTTTTGATGCTGAATGCCACTTTTCATAAGCTGCTTCAATATTTTTACGTTCAATAACCATCTATGGAAAAGAAATAAAGATTTGTACAAGATCTAGCCAAAAGTGGCTATAAATGTGGAAGACTGCAATTGAAAGATTGGGCATAACTCAAGAATGGTAAGTAGTATAATAATAGTTTATAGGTCAAAATAAAGCTTGTTATAAGAGGGGTATAGATATACATAATCTAGCCATTGAATAGTTATACATTAAGAATATACGTATAATTTTTGTCCATAGATAATTATCAAAAGTTACCATTCATAATTCTCGTCGGGATGAGTAAATCAATCTACTTTTGACTTTTCTTCCCGTCATATCAGTATTCAAACCAAAGGCTAGCTGTGTTAGGGATTTTGACTATACATATGATGTAAAGGTCACAAATACCAATATAAACTATCTGTTAATTAGTTGAGATTTTAATTACAAATCTATGAATCAGTGATTATTAACCAAAGACAGGTACCTACCAACCGATCTGACATTTGTTGTGTGCAACAAAGCAGAGAGATTAAATATTAAGTCCAAGAATTTTATTAGCATGAAGTAATGTGATGATATATAGAGCAGTAAGACTTCAACAATTCGTAACAAATGTAAGAGCGAAAGCTTATTCATTCTCAAGAGAACTTTCACTACAGATGGAATGGATAAGTTCATTTTAAACGTTGTCTGTATATAGAATTGCAAACGACCTTGGAATAAATAGGACAAGGAAACGTATTGAGGGAATAGAAAAAGTCGTCGTAGGAAATATGAATTATCGACTCGTAGAAAAATTTTGGCCCACAAAACTAAGGATTCAAATTGCGAAACTAGAAATAGATCATTTCCAAAGATTTTCGGATTGGTATTAATTATAGATACTTAATTACTCTTGCTACTCCTTCTGGAGGAACATAGCCCGCCCACTAAGTATAGCTAAGTATAGGTTAATTCAGTTGTTGTTAGGTAATAGCTCCTTATTTATAAAATTTACCATACAAGAATAAAACGAAAGATCGGCATTTTATAAATCGGTACAACGATATGTTAAGCCCTCTAATTACATTCAAATGTGTACTTCATAAATTCTTCTACGTCCAAAAGGCGTGGAACGATTAAACACTCTAATAAGAGGTCGATAATTTATGTAATAAGTGTCATAGTGTAAAAGTAAAAACAGAATGTTTTTATTAATTTTTTACAAAAAGGAATTCGAGCTAAATTTTAGATCGAAAACGGAGAACTACACGAAGCTGTATTTTTTGACGCCTACTTCAATATTTACACGAATAGAAATTGTATATACATTTAAATAAAACAAGTAGCATCTATATGATATTTATTTACTGATTAACAAGTCGCCTTCACTAATTTCGATGCAGACAATCGACAACTAACTGGTATAACTTAAGAAATACTACAATAATCAAAATAATCTATATAATCATATAAAACAATGGTAATTTTTATCTAAAGTTTTATCTAGATGTGCATTGATTAAGTCACTCGAATACTCAGTTATGATATGTTTATTATCATTTTTTAAAAACATATGGGTCATTAACTTGTTCTACGTGTACAAAAATCCAAAGAGAAATAGGGTAAAGGTATTGTCTTCATTAAATACAAATAAACAAGAAAGCTATTAAAATCGGTTATTTAATTGTAAATATGCAGTAATTAGAATCAAAAACATGCATTTCATCAATTACAAGTCGCATTGACAAGTTCAACAGAGAAATAAATACAAATTTTTAAGGAGCAAAGTCGATTGTTATAAATAGTTCAAATAAGAAATATAAACTTTAAATCATTATGAATTAAAAATGCAGCGATCGTTATTACATGGTTTACATCATCTACGGTGTACGAGTGTATGTACTCAGATATTTAATACACAATTTTTGTATAGGGACTGACGATGCTAATTAGCTGTCCAAACAAAAATAGGTAGAGTTGGATTCAGACTTACAATTTCTTGATTACAAAAACGGTTCTTTAAATTTCTAGGCAACCATTCCACTGATTACAATGAGAAATAAAGGAAATTGAATATAATTTTCACATAGACTTTAATTTCTAATGGGAGAAAGAGCATGTATATACTTGCTCATTCAATTAGTTAATTAATTTTGCAGTGAGCAGAACAATAAATTAAGAAATTTGCCATCTTTCCTACCCTGAAAGTTCTTCCGAAAGTGGCAATCGGATATGAAACTAAAAGCCCGGGTAAAGAACACATATTCGTCTGAATATAAGTCGGAATTTCTTTACATTAATTTACAAGATTCCATCGACATTTCTAGAGGTGATCGGAGAAAAAAAACAAGAGACAGAAAGATCTCTTTCACATCAATGAATGGTCAGTTTGAAAAACCATTATTTATTATTTCTTCAATAATTCGTGCAAAAATAATAAATTGTGATAATATCAATATCATGGGACACAATCAATTCTTTTTTGTAATACACTCATCCTTCTTTTTTATTAACTCACCTGATCTAAGAGAGAATTTTTACGATCTAATAATTGTGAGATCAATTTACGATGTGTTATTTTCAACTGTATTTTATGCTTTTCTTGATATCTATAATTTTAAAAAAAGAGGATAAGAATTATAGAAATTTCTTAAGAAAATAGAAAACAAGTTATTATTAAGACAACAACAGGAGGCATTGAACATATGAAGAAAACTGTAGTAGAGGTAATACGAAGAAAAAGAAGAATATAACAAGGTATGTTTTGTACAGACTTATATAATTTTCGTTAAGAACTGACATTCAATTATAGTTGGAAGGAACCAATGAAAAATGGGGAGAATCGAACAAATGGTTTGTCCAAGTATGGGACTTCTCAATGATGTGTATGAATCTACAACTACATAGACGTGATCGAACCCAATAAGTCATCATGAAGTTGAATCAAATGGTCAAAATTTTGAACATCAACTAATTTTTTGATGTAGCCTAGCTCTTATCTAATGTAAAAGGTGGCACATCGTTGTACAATCAACTGTTTGTTTACTCTAAACACAGGTCAAAACATTCAACTGCTATAATATTAAAAAAATCATTTTGTACGCGTGCTAAAGAATACTGACCCTTATGAGAATATGGTGATTTATTTTACTTTCAATTATAGTGGTGCTTACTGGTGTCAAACTAGAACTAAACGGCTATTGAGTACACTTTTCAATGATTCTCTACCTAAATTTCATTCAATGAAGAGAATTATATTCAAAAATAAACTATGGCGGGATTGTAATTATTGTTCCTAACGAAAAAATAATAATAATAATGTTATGTTAATTAATAGAAATTATTATACGAAATTAGAAAAAAAAAGTGGAAGAAATAATCAAATGAAAACTGTTAAAATTCACTTTTATGTAGTACACTTAATCTGTTCTGAATTTATCATTAATATTGGACACGTATTAAAGTAACTATTATATTCCTATCTTTGACTAAAATTAAAACAACTATTTAATTTTTACAATGAGAAGATAAATTTGAATACTATGCTTGGTTGACAACATAGTAAAAATACAGTTAAGTTCGAAAGTACTGAAATGTATAATGTGTATCACTTTCTGAACAAAATACAGAGCACCACTAGGTTTGACCTTGAATGTTAGTATAGACACTAAGATGTAAATACATCCAAATGACGAGTATCATAAATGTTAAATGCTAGCCAGATTTGTACTTAATTACTTAAATGTAATGTTAATAATATTCTCAAGATTACTTCTGTTAAACGTTCTGGCAATGTCCTTTAATTTATACACATAGTTCCCTTTATTATTTTAAAGAGAGTAGGAACAAAGGTTGGTGAAGAGTAATATGAATTCATTTTATTTCGTTAGGTTCTCATCAGCTGCTTACAACCTAAAATATTTGAAATTCAACGTTGTTATAGATATTGACATACTTATACAACAGAGGGCGATGAAGGATGAATATATGTAACATAATGTGGTAAAGATTTCGTTAGAGTTAATGAGGTCATAAAATGTTGTTTCGAATATATAGAGTTTGGGAGGGAAGGTTCCAGAAAATTGAAATAGTGATTAGAAATCATGGAATTAAAACACATTAGACGATTATGTAATGAAGTAACTGAAGATAGATTAATGTTAATAAAGAGAGATATGAATTGAAATTGGTCAGTTATGAATGATGTAATTATAAAATTCAGAAAGAGTTGAAATGACGTAATAAAAATAAATAAAATAAAAGGGGGTGGGGTGAATGTTACCAGGGCAAAGAAAGATTTATTACTGTTTCTTTTTGTATACAAAGATCTGGTTTTAGACGTTTGATTGCTATTGCTTCCGCGAATTTCAAAAGGTTTGAATTTGATTGTTTGTTGGTCACCTTGAAGGACTTCAGTTTATCGACTTCGTGTCCTGTGTCAAGGAGATGCCTTGCGACAGCGCTGCTAAATGCTTTTAGTCCGGTTGATCTCGAATTGTTCGGAATATGTTCTTTGAATCGGAGGTAGGCTCTCCTTTCTGTTCTACCAATGTAACTGCTTTGGCAGATACATGTAAATTTGTATACACAGTTGGTGGTAACATGAAAGGGATACCTGTCGACCTTTGATTGTGTCAAAGAACATGTCGTTTTGGACAGGACAATCAATTTAGCTGCAGGATATGTTTTTGTCAGTGCAGTTTTTAGTCTCATATTGATTGACCCTGTGACATTATCGCCTTTGAACTTGAGTTGAATAAAAACAGGTTTTTTATTCACCGTAGTTTCTTTGGGTATTTTATCTTCACGTTTTCCATATTTCTCGATGAATTTCTATGGGTATCCGTTATTTCTTAAACACTTTTTAACATTCATAATTTCCTCTTCTATTGTATCCGCAGTACATATTCTTTCTGTTCTATGAAACAGTGTTTTGACAAGTGCTTTTTATAATTGATTGGACAAAAGCTGTTGAAATTGACATAAATACCATTCCATGTGTCTTTCTTATAAACTGAGCAATGAACTGTGCCATCCTTTCTTCGTTTTATCGCTATATATATACAAATTTACATGTATCTGCCAAAGCAGTTACATTGGTAGAACAGAAAGGAGAGCCTACCTCCGATTCAAAGAACATATTCCGAACAATTCGAGATCAACCGGACTAAAAGCATTTAGCAGCGCTGTCGCAAGGCATCTCCTTGACACAGGACACGAAGTCGATAAACTGAAGTCCTTCAAGGTGACCAACAAACAATCAAATTCAAACCTTTTGAAATTCGCGGAAGCAATAGCAATCAAACGTCTAAAACCAGATCTTTGTATACAAAAAGAAACAGTAATAAATCTTTCTTTGCCCTGGTAACATTCACCCCACCCCCTTTTATTTTATTTATTTTTATTACGTCATTTCAACTCTTTCTGAATTTTATAATTACATCATTCATAACTGACCAATTTCAATTCATATCTCTCTTTATTAACATTAATCTATCTTCAGTTACTTCATTACATAATCGTCTAATGTGTTTTAATTCCATGATTTCTAATCACTATTTCAATTTTCTGGAACCTTCCCTCCCAAACTCTATATATTCGAAACAACATTTTATGACCTCATTAACTCTAACGAAATCTTTACCACATTATGTTACATATATTCATCCTTCATCGCCCTCTGTTGTATAAGTATGTCAATATCTATAACAACGTTGAATTTCAAATATTTTAGGTTGTAAGCAGCTGATGAGAACCTAACGAAATAAAATGAATTCATATTACTCTGCACCAACCTTTGTTCTTACTTCCTTTAATTTAGTCGAGATAATTTTGCTTTAAGTATCATAGTATTTTATTTCACATAACAGTTTTCATTTCAGAAAATTTTAATAGCCAAAAGGACTTTGTAAAATTAAATTGACAAACGTAAAGAAATCGAGAATCTTATCAATACACTGTGACTTAAAGGTATACTTCAAATATAAAGCATATGTGCATATATACATATCTACACTTATAATCACAGCTGATTTACATATAAAAACCCATAACTATAGACTAAACATTTTCGGGAATATCGGATTTAAGATTATACGAATAAATTAACGCTGTGAAGGTTCAAACGATGGATTTTAAAAATGAAGAAGAAAATAATTTAATTATTTTTTGGTTAATCCATTTAAGGATGTCAATTTTAATTTGACAGACTACGAAACTGCCTTATCATACAATCTATTAGTATATAAATGACTAGATTTCTGAAAGTTAAGGCCTTTACTAAGAAATGGAGCTAAACACACTGTTGTGAAAAAAACAGAACCATGATCTATTTAGATAGCCACACAAGTAAATAATCCAAACACACGATCAAAAATAATAATAAATAAAAGTTCTAGCTTATTACAAAGAGAATGAAAATTTTGTATTTCGATAAGTTCTTAAAATTTGACGAAAATATGCTCAATGAACACATCAACAATATGTTGATCAAAATAACTACAAAGTTATCTAAGCAAACATTTAGTTATCTACTGGTACAAACTTGTTTGAAAGAACAAAACGAAAGACTACACATTGAAAATACTTTGAAGCAATTTATAATATGGTTGCAAGATGTTATACTTACAGAGTTTATTTATATGAAACACAATCACATCAGTTGCCCACTACTTTAGTATCATGTGTACCCCATCTCTGAACTATAGCTCATTATATAACTACAATAAACCTATTTGTCTTATTATATTAACTCCACATAATTTAAATTTTCACTACCCAACTCAATTTTTCGATTGTGTATATTATCTGCTACATTTTGATAGCACAAATCCGACTCAGTGGAATAAGAATAATATGTATACCGGAAAAGCTGAAAGTCGAATGTCCCATTCTATGTGAGATTGTAGGCGAAAACTAATAAATTTCAAACTAAGACGAAATATCTGTCTAATGATGCCTGATGTATATACATATATATCAATTCATGGATCTTATCTAACGAAGAAACCAATTTAGATGTCACGAAAAACAAGTCAATAAAATCAAATATTTGTTAGGAATAGCTGTTTTTTCTGGAAAATTCAAGCCGAAATAGAAACAAACGACAGTGAAAAATCTCACCAATCATCAAACTAGCTCAACATCGGGATACATATCATATTTAGATAGACAAACATAGTACACATAGAAAAAAACGTTTAGCATGGTTTCCATCCTAAAGCGAATTGAAATAATCCAAGAAAAATAACCATGCTAACTTCAGAACTATAATCAACTAATGTCAGAAGAAATACAGGAAAGTATGGTAATCCTGGGAATTTAACACTATTTATCTCACATAACGCTTCCAATCTGCTTATTTTTTTTATCAGAAAGGGATTATTCGGGAAATCTCCAAGTAAGGTATACTTACGAACACATGAAAACTAATTAAACTATTTCACTTATCTAAATAAAAGAAAAACAATAAGGCATTTCATGTATACAAAAATAACTCCAAGTATGTGGTGCTAATTACTAAGCAGACATTAAAAATAACAATAATAAGCAAATTATCCGACACACAACTTACTTAATTAACAATTCAATAACTTGACCTAATGATAAAGGAATTTCAACGCCCGAATCAAGAACTAATGAATCTAATCCTTTAGAATGGCATACATAAGCAGCTGTGCCTAGAAGGCGATTGAATTCTTCTTCAATTTGTTCATCAAGATCATGGTTTATTAAATGACCTTGTGAGTCATATAGCGAGCAATCGGTATTGATTGGAAGCAAATTTAATGATAATTGACGTACCAATATAGCTACAGGATTTGCAGCTAAAAGAGAAACGAGAAATACATTTATACTGACAAAATAATTGTTGGTATTATTACTAGTAGCAGATAATCCAAAATAAATGAAAGGCTAATCAAAGCACATGTCAGTTGGTTAATGAGGATTTGAAAAAAATACTTTCTTGTTGATCATGTATAACTAACGATAAGAGGATTTTCTTTTCTTGGAAAATAAGATAGAATTGTTAGGTATACTCACTAAAAAAGGATTATCATCATTATTATTATTACTTCCGTAACTCATTAAATTTGCACTTAGTAAAATTTTCTATTTGTATCTATGCAAACTATCAAACAATTATAGAATTATTCTAATTAACTTAGTAATGAAGTGTTAGCAAATATATGTTAATTAATAAGTGAATCAGCAGTGACTTAGTGGCTAGATGATTTAACTATTAATAAATAAACTGTTGATTCGGGCCCGCACTTCACTTTGGTTCAAAATGCTTAAAGAAATTAAGAAATATGACTTATGTATAAGTTAATATATATTTTTACATGATGATTACTGAGTTATTTTGATCAATTTAAGTGGTATAAATGAATAAAATATAATCTTTTTCTAATAATATTGGACGATCAACTTAGTTTACACCATACGTCATGTTTTATATCGATAATAATAATAATAGTGATAGTAGTATGGAAGTGAATACTCAAAATTGTTTATACACTGACACAAAACTTTAAATCGAGCGGAACAGATAGACCAACCGGAATACTAATTCAAAAGGGATGTGAACTAGATTAACTTATTAGAAATTAGGTTAAATTTCCAATGTTCAGAAAATCAAATAACTTATGGCTTAAATCGAATTTAAGACAATTTTAAATTAAAAAATTATAATTAAATAATGATTAGTCGTTTATGTAAGAATCACATAACTCGAACGATGGATATTGGTAAAAACTGAGGTATTAGTGTTTGTGACTAACTGATGAAATCTGTTTATTCACTGAGTTTTTTAGGGAGTTGTACAAGTCACCAACCAACAAACAGGCAATATTTTTTTGAAGGAATATGTCAGTTTCTGGATATATACGTTACACTGAATAAAGTACAATTAAATACAGACCATGTTTCCATATATAACTAAATTTGATTAGTAATATTGTAGTGGGTGAACGCTTAGATGGGGAAGATCAATTTATTATTTGATGCAGAACCACAGTGCTTTCGTAAAGTATGAAAACCACACCTCAAATACATAATTTGCACATCTTCCATCAGTTGTCCTTTACATGCTTCATGATTCCTTCAATGTTGTTTTTATTCCAATTCCTTTCTGTTTCTCTTTCAGTTTTTTTCAGTTCAATCTCAACCCTCTTTTGACAGGTGTATCACTTTTGGTTAGCATTACATACTACTTATACGTCAACATAAGTAGCACACATCACAATATGACTACGAACAGAAAACCCAAACCAAGAGTTTCTTAGCAAGACTGGATTAACTCAAAAATATCTATCACATCTACATAAAGACTAGATAATTATTGTTAGCATCGACCATCAATTCACTAGTTGACATCAGTCTATAAAAATCTGTTGATCCTGTTTGATGTAAACTATCATTGAAGTTTTGAGACAAATATATGACAGTTCGTCTAAGAAACATATTCTCCCAGATATTCGAACGGACATCATTAGATGTAGCATACAGAGACGTTGCCACTGTTGAGTTATTATCACCACAGATATAGAGTGAATGATACAGCATGTAGTAAAAACCAATCCTGAATAGACAACGATTCTATAAATTGGGAACAAATAAACACTGAATTAAAGCAAACTTAAGCAAGAACAAAATTTGACATATGTAGAGTTGTATACTCACATAAACCTGTGACAACCATGGCCCCAAGTTCAGCTTGATATCCACCTTTTCTACAAGTCCATATTCGACCTCCAACACGATCCTGAAGAATAAAAGTGATACTTAATTTGAAATATTGCTATGTTAAGTGTAATATCTAATTGTAAAACTGAATCCTCGAAATTTGTTACGACTACTGACGTAATCACATGTCATATAAAAAGAGATATTAAGTATATTCCATTGATATCAATTTTAACATGTAGAAAATGGGTGGCAAAAAAATCAAGTACATAATGAGATTATATCTTGGGATCATTATTACCATTAATGAAGAGGTTTTGAAGAGTACGTTTTAAACTATGGGTTGTATTTGCCATAGATTGACATTTAAAGTAACATTAAAAAAGCAGAATATAGCAACTTATGTTAACACTTATCTGCGACAGACTCTACTTCGATGATAACTGACTGACTGAGTAGCAACAACCTCACTAGGAATTGAACCCTTACTAAAATTAAATATACTTATTCAACAGAAAACTGATCGCGTTAAAGAATATTGTAATTTTATAAAAGAAACAACAGGCAAAGTAGTTACTGAAACATACACGAGATTCTAAAATAGTAACTTTGGCACCAAAATAAGTCAGTTGTCTTGCTGCAATTAGGCCAGAAATACCAGCACCAATTATAATAAAATGAGGAGTTGTCAGTGACGTAGATGATGAACTAAGTGGTAATGTACTGGCAGAAGGAGAATTGTTAGCACGACGCGTTGCTGCTAGAGCTTTCTCAGCTGCAGCTCTTCTGGGTGTTAGTTGGACATCTGATTTGTCTAAGATTTCCATAGGCGATCCTGGGAAAGTTGCAGTGGTAGCAGGATCAGCAGTACGAGATGAATTCACATGTGTTAAGGGTGGAGATATAATTTTAAATATGCCAAAGTTGATATATCCATATCTAGACGAAAAACCAATGAAAAAAGGTAAATCATCATTAGAAGTCAGTTGAGTTAATCAATTTGTCTTCACTGGCACATTATGTATTGGGTTAACGACTTGACATTTATCACATAATTAACCTATTGGTATTTTTTATGGCTACTTTCCACATTTAGTGACAAACATTGATGTTTATTATCACAATGCATCAGTTAGCTCGAAATTAAAACTATGGTCTAACTTACATACCATTAAACTCGCCATAGATACCTTATTTTATGAAGTTTAGGGTTCATCGATCTTCCGTAAAAATACTTCCTGTTTGTAGTAATCGGTTCGTCTTATCTTTGTTTCCACTAATGTCCCTAGAGGTCATCAGAACCTCCAAAGAAGCATAAATTACAATGTATTTTGGTAATCCCAGTAACGATAACAGAACAGCTCACAATATTTCCTCATTAATCGAACCTTATAAGACCTATTTACCAATGATTACTTATTTAATACAATTTAGGAATATAAAATGTATTAATTTATTCTTATTTTCTAATTATCATCTTAAAAACATTCTTCAAAATCTCCAACATTTTCAGATACATATTAAAATAGCGATTTCCTCAAAACAAATGATATTATATTAAGCTAGCAGATGAGATTAAATTACCATATTTTTACGGACTGCAATCTATGGTACACCCTTTATCACACGGTTGAAAATACATAGCCCTCTCAGCAAATACACTAAGTGGACAATGAAACTTTTCTTTAAAACGTGAGAATAATCCAAGAAGTTTATAAAATGGTAAGAAACATTTGTGGAGATAACACATTAAAGAAAATAGAGCCTCTCGACTGAGCCGATACATTTAGTAAGAGCCGTAAGGACTACGACGATGACACGAGGTCAAGATGACCATCCAATATCTGTGGTCTCTTGTGCTTAACGATTGTCGATTTGCAGTCCGATGGCTTTTGGTCAACTGGACTAGAGATAATTGTCTATGCATGTAATTTTGTTGAAACACCAAATGACGTAGCAACTAGATAGCCTAAATTCCATAGTCGTTCAGGGACGTTTGAAATAATGGAAACGAAAGTGGGACAAGTTTTTTGCCACAAAGGGAGAACAGCTTGAAGAGGATAAGTTTGTGTTTTAAATAGACTTTTTCCTAATTCATTTCACGCGTTTGTTTGAAAGAATACATAGATGACGATTAGTCTTATCGTACTAATGTGAATGTTTCAAAGAGTTTTAAGTTTTTAAAGAATGTTGAAAACTTTACATTTGAAGACTAATAACAAAATTAGAAGTTTCCATTAATCTTCCGAAAAAAAAACGATTTTCCTCCAATGGACAATACAAGCCTTTTAGGTTAACAGAACTAAAGGAGGACGTTGAACATTTATTGTATATTATTTATCAGTTAAAATTCATACCAATGTGAAGGTAAAACCCAAAAATCATTTTGTTAATTTAGTGGCATTCAGCATAATGAGGAATGCGATCGGATAGGCTTTTAAATACTATTTAATTTTGTAAACTACCAGTCTACCATTTTTCTGACGCGGGATTACTTTTTAAATGTTTTCAAGCAGTTTATACTTCTATACCACCAATGTAAGAAACGTACTTCATCCTAAAGCCCGGTTTTAGCTAGCAACAAACTTAGATTATATAAGTGTTATTTTAAATTTTGTGCATTTGTGGTTCAACTAAAAGATTATGTGATACTTATCGCCGGTTCTACATTGTCACTGACTGACTGACTATCGCCGGTACACTAACAGGCCTGTTGACACTTCTGAGTTGAGTCAAGTTAAATATTTACTTATTTTTGTCCTGGTAGCCTCATGAACAATATCTTGTCACATATCACACTAGTTAAGTCGGATATGAACAATAAACTAATTTGCATGGCTAGTAGGGTACGCGAGATTTATATATAGTCAGGGGATTTAATTGACGTGAAACACGGTTAGATAAGGTATGAGTAAGATTCAGGGAAAAATTTAAAGTTACTACATGAACTATGATCAGGAGTCGAGAAGTAACTTAAAACATAGTTTAAAGGAATTACTGGTAAGAGCATAAATAAAGACGAAATGGGTTTTAAAGGATAAAAAAGATACCTCCCACCTTTCCAAGAACAAAACAACTAAATAAGTCATCCGTTCCAAATTTGCTTTTGCAGTAGGCGTACCCCAGGGTGAGTAATTACTTGGGAGAGTTAAACTTGTTAGATGGCGTTGAAGAGATCGAGAAAGCTCTTTGCTATGTCTGACACGACCGACACCAGAAATGTTTTCCTCACAAACAGAAGAAGCAGACGAGTTGGATCCTTGGTGTACTGGTAAAGGAGCAGTCAAACCAGAATCGATCATCACCCGTAGATTCTCGACTGACATATTATTCATCACGTATATGAACAGCCTATTAGGCGTAACCTGTGTACACGAGTCTTCTGACCACATTAAACACTGCAAAAGAATTTATTGTACAAAACAATTTCCAGCATAGACATAATTATTATTTAATTTCCAATATACGACTAAATACCACTCCACAGAAAAATCACAGAAAATCTGAACCGGAATTTTCCACCTAGAAAACATTATACTATGTTATCATTTTAAAAATTTGGTGTCGTTTCCCAGTCAGGACATAAGATATGAAATCTTATTAGGCTTTAGAAGAGTAAAACTTAGTACGCATTTTAAACAAGTAAATTACTCAGAAGGTTACCGTAGTTATGATGTCTTTTTAGTCACATAAAGATATGACCAAGACGTGATTCAAAATACAAATTAACACGTTAAATAGAGAACGCCTTGACGAATAAAGCTTCCAAGTCACAAAAACGTACTACATCATAGTATTAGAACGCTGTCCAGGCAGCAAAATTTATGATGCATAACTGCAGATCACCACCTCGATTCCTGACAGCCTAGTGTTACAGATAAGGAATAAAAACATCTCTCGCTACGAAGATATAAACATGTGACGAAGTGGTTTAACCACTATCAATTCACAATAGCACTTGAAACGGTAATAATAGCTGTGAGAAAGTTTGTAATGTGTAACTAAACTAAGAAGGGGGTGTAAGTGTGTACGATACCTTCAGTAATCAGAACTTGCGATTTCTAGGACCGAAATCTAATAGTCAAAATCTTGAATAACAGACTGGTATATACGAAAATGATACTCCTGAAGTATATCTGGACTTCAAAAAATTGGGTCCCCGGCTGTTTTGTAATGACGGAGGATTTACATTTAATTATAAAAACGATTGAAAAAATGGTACCGGCACATAACCATTGTAAATATAAACAATGGAAAACCGATACCCCAGTTCTTTCAATATGTTAGGAAATTTAACCGCACTGTTGGTTTGAATATTATATATATACAGTGATGAGACGCATTCTAAGTATTTATATTTGAGCAATCACATCAGATATGTAGCATTTAAAGAGATAGCTCCCAAAGTATAGGAAATGGCCTACTAGTTCATGTTTTAAGATTAGGCAGAGTGAATATTTAAACCAGATTTGCAATATTTTTACGCTAAAGAATTAAAATGCACGTCGCCATTGTGACTTTCACTAAGTTTCTAAAAACAGGAACTGTTGTATCACTAATCCAAAAATTATGATAGGCAAATTGATAAGGGAAATCCATCTCATCGAAGTTCTTTAAGAAGACAAATGTGAGAAAGGTTTACAATGGTCAGGGATGGAAACGAAACAATAAACTGGAAAGTTAGGGTTTTGTAACGTACATATATAATTAACCACTCTTAAAAAGACAATCAAATAGTATCAGACAAAAATATGAAAAGAACTGAATATGTTTATGCTAAACCCAATTTAGGAAAATAACTACTAGAGGAATCGATCTAAAAATATAAATCCACTTGTATTTGAGAAACGTAGGATAAGCTTTCAAGTATCGAACTTTCTGTGATAATAAAATGAGAACATAAAACTTATTTTTATCACAAGATAAAGATGTACACAATTTTGCCATTATGCTCCGATCTTAAATGTTTTCAATGTTTCGAAGGATAAAAAACAGAGGCTATTCCAAGACTCGTTATTTGCAAAATAAGTTATTGTAAGCATTTCCATGTAAAACTTACTGCAAGATTTCGGACAGCAATATATGACTCCTTTAAAGAATTTGAAGAACTTTCTAAAAAAGGGAACATTTGAGTTTCTTCTGTACAAAGTTCTTTTGCAGGAAGGCGACAAATTTGCGAGGCTTTCTCAGCAGGCGTCAGAGTATCTTCAGGTTCTTCTTCAACAGGTTCATCCTCCGCACTTTCACTTTCAGCATCATCCACATCGATATCACCCTCGACCAGACGCCTCCCGGTGGTATTGTTTTCTAACTCAGAATCTTCAAGCTCGTCATCGTCTTCATAAACGTCTACCCCACATTCATCTGACTTTTTGCTGGGGCTAGATTTATGTGGATTCAATTTTGGTGCTTTGTTTTCGTCAAGTTCGTTCATCTCTTCCTGCAATTTAAGCAAACACGTTTTGCAAGAAATTAATTCAACACCAGCCATGGACAGCTATAAGATGGTGCAGAAAATTCGTACAGTTATTGAGCCTATCTTGCAGATCTTAAATCAACGTACGTCACTCCAAGTATATATATATATATATATATATATATATATATATATATATATATATATATATATATATATATATATATATATAATTTTACTTCACACTTCGTAGTTTCACTATGATACAAAATACACATTCGTAAACCTAAGTAACGAACTACGAATGATACGAGGCGGCGAATCCTTATAGCAATCAAAACCATAAAGCTGAAACTTCAAATAAAAAATAAACCCTCTAGATCTGGGAAAAATGAAGCCGTGTTAACCTCAAAGATTGCCTTCGTGTTACACTGCATATGGACTACAACGCTCACCCCTTCAAGAAAGCAATAAGACCCGGATGCACCAAGAAAGTCAAAAATTAAATCAAATTACAACGTAGAGATGCAGCTAAAGAATTTGCTGAAGACGAAAAGCACTACGATCTGGAATAGAAACAAAAATAATTACATCTTTATTTGTGGCAGCACATTCAGCATGGCTTGGAACAAGCATTGTTTGGACCGGCGCATGAGATGGTCGGAAGCCTCGTTTAACACTGCGACCTCGAGGCATGTCTTTGAAAACTGGTTTCACTGGAGTTACGGAACGACCTTCAAAGTGAAAACGTTCAAATTGGCGAACTAATGACAATCATTTAAACTAAATTGCACAATTACAGACGTGTGAAATCAACATTTACGCATTGGTTGCTTGAAGCATGGACCGAGTTTAGCTCTTGCATTTTTCCTTAAAGGCGTTTTGGACCAATTACCACTCAGTTCCCCAATCTGCCTCATACTTGAAACAAGGACTCGCTGCTTGACAATCTAAACATTTCTTCATCCTAATACGGGAAAGTCTTACGAATAGACCTGATACTCTATGGCCTTTTGCAGCGGCAGCTTTGCAGTGACTGGTAGTTTTGAGATCACTGCTTACTATGACTCCTAAATCTTTATAACTTCTTACTATGGGTAATATGAATCCACATATTGTGTAGTGATACGAAACATCATAGTTATTTCATTGCATCGCCACACTCTTATAGGATTTACCTCTAGTGACCACCTGTCCATCCATGCCACCAACGGGTCGAGATCATCCTGTAATACAATTTTGCCTGACATGCTGCGTATGGGTCTTCAAATTTTCGTGTCATCGGCAAAGAGTAAAACGGATGATTTTGCTATAGTTGGTAGTCTATTTACAAAAAGTAAAAAGATGTGGTGTTTGAATGAACTAAGGATAACTTTGTACTTCTTGAATGCTTGATTTGGAATTCTAAACCCAGTACATTCTTTTGTCCATATATAATACTTCTTGATCCGATTACGTCATTTCTGGGATTCTTAGTGCATACTATAATTCAAATACTCCAGATTATCACAAAAGAGAAAGGAACCAAGGATTGTGTCTCGGTAAACCCCATTTTTTCAGATTTTTACAACGAGAGAGCTCCATTAACCCTTACCCTTTGTCTTGTAGTGACTCACATTTATCACGAGAACACGACTGGTTTAATAAAAACAATTATTATTATAACCAACTGTACCAGTGTTTGTTTCAATGTGCTTTTGTTTGACTGTGCTAATGACAGCTATATTGTGCTTCCATTCTTATACATACACTTTGATTGTGACTTCGCGCGAATTCGGTTACGTTCTGTAACCAAGCATGTATCCTGGCACGATCTCGGTATCCTAACGATACCACGCGATCGCCAGCAAATATATCTCGACTTGGTCCATTAACTGCCTTCTGATATTTGGCTTCTCGGGGATTTTATGGATCTATTTGGTTACGTTCAACCTTCGCCTTCTGATTTACTTGGCACGTGTTTCTTTGTAGCGATGTTCATGGTTAATCCCAACTCGACGCCACGCTACAGTCTGTTGTCATGGAGAAAGTTAATTATCCAATCTACGAATGTATAAAGGATTCCGAAACATTCCAGTTTTTATTGAAGACCAGAATTGGAGACCTTATCGAAAGCTTTGTTTAGATCTTTGATAATCACTTGTACAGTAATATTACGATCTTTCACCGCAATGAGAAGATTTGTCAAACATAACAGGTCTCTCCGAAAACTATGTTGCTCCCTGGATAAAAGATTATGCTTTTTCACATAGTTTATAACAGCTATCCGAATACTTTTCTACATTTCTTTTACAACTGCACTAGTTAGGCTGACGTCGATAATTATCAACTCAATCTCTACTCTCTGCCTTATACACCGGACTAATTATGGCGCCTTTCCAGTCCCTGGGTAGTCTGGACTCCTAATTGTACAATAACGGGATCTGTACTTTTCTAAGCCAGTGGAGATGAACATATTCCAGCGCTTTTTCCCACGTCTAAGAAGTCTCTTGACTTGTCTACGTTGTACCATGTATGGTATGGACGAGGACGTAACAGAACTAAACTTGCCTTTAAATACAAACCATGCTTCTTTAACAGGTGAGCTAGTATCTACTGACCAATTTGTCATAGCAGCACACTCCTGAATGGCTGATAAACACCGCTTGAATTTTGCGAACAGCATAAATGTTCTGGTGAGCAAAGAACCTCTTCTGCAACTTCTTCATTCTAATTATAAATTTGTAGGGAATTTAATCTCTTTCTAAATGGAACGATTAAATCTGAAAGTGTTTTGCAGATTACGATACAGAAAATGTAAATTGGTGTTAACATCGCTGGAACAAAAGACAAATCCCAGTTAAGAACATGTAGTAGAATTTCAAAGTACGGTCAGTCGGTGTTTGAATAGATCCTGAAAGAAACCAAAGTGATTTTTTTCCTACTGAAGTGCATGAGCGCTTTTCCGCAATTTGTTGACAGGCTTCTATTGTGTGATCACTGCTTGGGAATCGAAGACTATTATATTCTTTGTTTGAAAGAGCGTTGTGTAGACAACGTAAGTCCAATAGGCCAGCTTTTTCGATGGGCTTAATGAATGTCTGTGTCCAATTTTTGTTTCTAGTACTTCGGAGATTATTTTAAAGTGAGTAAAACCATGTAACGGGTTCTGGCCAACATATGGTTGAATGGGAACATCAGTCATGAGGCTAAGAGAGATTGATAGTTTTGGAATGAATATTCGCATAGTCGTCCGTACGAGTCTCAGTTACTAATAAAAAATTACGTTGGCGTCTAGTTAAAAATTATCATGATTTCTTAAGCACTAGGATCTTTTTAAATATCGAAAGATTGTTAGTGAAGCAGGTCTCTTTGAAGCCCTAGAGAAATCATGAAGTATACGGAGGGATTCACTTTTGTTTACTTTTCACAATCTCCAACATACGTATCAATTATTCGTTAGTTCGAAATTTTGTAGATCTGTTTTTGACAAACGCCATGTTTGCACCATCGAGCATGTTGACATCATTGTTTTACACATGCACTGAAGTCTACTGGAGACTCTGACATCATTTCACTTTAACAAGAAATAATATGAATTTAATCTAATTTACTATACCTCTGTCTGTTCTACTTCAAAATATTAAGCAACGTTTGGCGTTCATATCCAAGTGCCTTGCTGCTCTTCTGTTTCTCATTTTTTCAAAATCTTGCTCTGAGGGCACAGCTATGGAACTTCTGACGTCTGGAACGAACTTGACGTACGCGTCTCCTCAACCTCATAGTTTACAGCAAGCGCTCTACGAGTCTACTTTATATCAAGTATAAACTTAATAAGTTGGGAAGCATGCTGTGCGCCAACAAATGTTGTTGCTGTAAACTATGAGGTTGAGGAGACGCGTACGTCAAGTTCGTTCCAGACGTCAGAAGTTCCATAGCTGTGCCCTCAGAGCAAGATTTTGAAAAAATGAGAAACAGAAGAGCAGCAAGGCACTTGGATATGAACGCCAAACGTTGCTTAATATTTTGAAGTAGAACAGACAGAGGTATAGTAAATTAGATTAAATTCATATTATTTCTTGTTAAAGTGAAATGAAGTCAGAAGCTCCATATAAAAGGATGTAGTAATAAAGAACAATGAGTCGTGATGTTTAACAAGTTGGAGTGAGCTCACATGAAGGAAGGGAAGTCAAGGTTGGTACAAGGAAGGCGGTTTATTAGAAGGGAGTATGCATGTAGAGAGTTGAAGTGTTAAGAATACTATATCTTTTATTGTCTATTTTTTTCTTCCTTTCCTTTTTTGTCCATCCGATGCCAGCCACACAATCCTAGTGTAAAATTCCGAGTTAGCATGTTATAGGTTGTCTTAGTAGAATAGCTAATCCAACATAAAATTGGAAACATGAGTCTGAATGGTGAATGTAGGAAGACAATCTATATTACAGATTGATTGACTTATTCTCAATCATAAAGAGTCTGATACATACAAAATTTTCTGCCCCACAAACACGGGTGGATTGAATTCATCGCCCTCACCATCAATGCTTGCTGGTCAGTAGCTCCACCCTCCCTCCTTTTGTGATGTTAGGCTCACTTAAACTTAATTTTGGATATAGGTCATACCTCACACAATCCTCTGTGTTTCACATCCTGCTACTTACTTGCTTACTTACTTACCCACGCTTGTTACTCCTAAAGGAGCATAGGCCGCCAACCAGCATTCTCCAAATCACTCTGTCCTGGACATGTTTGTCTAGTTCCATCCAATTCTTGTTCATTTTTCTAATGTCTGTCTCCATTGCCCGGCGTAATGTGTTCTTTGGTCTTCCACCTCTCCTTTGGCCTTGAGGATTCCATGTGAGGGCTTGTCTTATGATGCAGTCGGGTGCTTTCCTCAATGTGTTTCCTATCCACTTCCAGCACTTCTTCCTAATTTCTTCCTCCGCTGGAATCTACTTCGTTCTCTCCCACAGTAGATTGTTGCTGATAGTGTCCGGCCAACGGATCCGAAGTATTTTGCGTAGATATCTATTAATAATAAACACTTGTGTCTTCTGGATGATGGCTTTCGTAGTTCCCCAGGTTTCCGCCCCATACAGTAGAACTGTCCTGACATTTGTGTTGAAAATCCTGACCTTGGTTTTACTTGACAGTTGTTTCGAGTTCCAGGTGTTCTTCAGTTGTAAATATGCTGCTCTTGCTTTGCCGATCCGCGCCTTCACTCCTGCACCAGATCCACCGTGTTCATTAATGATGCTGCCCGAATATGCAAAGGTTTTTACATCTTCCAAATCTTCGTCAATTGTGATTGGATTGGTGCATGCCGTGTTGTATCGGAGAATTTTGCTCTTCCCTTTGTGTATATTGAGACCTACTGTTGCTGAGTCTGACGCTACACTGGTCGTATTTTCTTTTATTTGTTGTTGCCTTTGCGATAGAAGAGCCAGATCATCTGCGAAGTCTAGATCGTTCGACTGCATCCTAGATGCCCATTGTATCTCGTGCTTCCCTTCAGAAGTTGACGTTTTCATGATCCAGTCGATCACCAGGAGAAAGAGAAAGGGTGAGATTAAGCAACCTTGCCTGACACCGGTCTTTACTTCGAAAGAGTTTGTCAACTGTCTTCCATGCACAGTTTTGCAGTTTAATCCGTCATAGGAATTCCGTATGATATTGACTATCTTCTCAGGTACGCCGTGGTGTCGAAGAAGCTTCCGTAGTG